TTTCTTTTTTATAGCTAATTCCATATTGTTTAGATTACTATAGCTTTGTACTATAGCTTGAAATCTGGGAACTTAATGCCTTCAGTTTTGTTCTTTCTCGAGATTGCTTTGGCTCCGCATAGTCTTCTGTGGTTCCATACAAATTTTAGGATTATTTGTTCTATTTATGAGAAAAATGCCATTAGAATTTTCATAGGGATTGCATTGATTCTATAGATTGCTTTGGATAGTATGGACATTTTAACAGAGCTAATTCTTCTGTTCCATTAGCTTGGAATATTTTTAAATATATTTGTATCTTCTTCAACCTCTTTCATCAGTGTCTTAACAGTTTTCAGTGTGCAGTAGTTCCTCCTTATCTACTGAGGATAAATCCCAAGATTCTTGATGGATGACTGAATCCGTGGATCATGCCAAACCCATATGTATTATGCTTTTTTCTATACATTCATACAGACAACCTATAATAAAGTATAACTTATAAATTAGGCACAGTAAGACATTAACAACAATATCTAATAATAAAATAAAACACATAACAGTATATTGTAATGAAAGTTATGTGAACGTGGTCTCTTAAAATATCTTATTATATTGTACAGACAGTATGAATATGCTGGAAAAAGGCATGATTCACATCCCACATGGGATGGAATAGGATGGCACGTGATTTCATCATGCTACTCAGAATGACACACAATTGTTTATTTCTGGAATTCTCCAGTTAATATTTTCAGACTGCAGTTGACTGCGGGTAACAAACCATGGAAAGCAAAACTATGGCTAAGGGGCGACTATTGTACAGGTCTTTCACCTCCTTGGTTAAATTTATTTGTTGGTATTTTTTCCTTTTTGATGCATATGCCCCATTTTTATATTACATTGTTGATCTTTTTCAAATTTATTTATGAGTAGTTGTTTTTTGTGTGGTCCTTTTTTTAGGAAAACTTTCTGGATACTAATTATATGTGTTATAGATATTTTTTGTTAATTATATGTGTTGCAGATATTTTCTACTGTTTTGTGTTTTCAATTTCTGGTTTCTTTTGATTAAATTAAGACTGACTTGGGTTTTTTTGTTTAGTATGGTGGAAATTATCAGTTCTTTCTTTTATGGTTAATGCGTTGTGGTTTTTTTGTTTGTTTGTTTTTGTTTTTGTTTTTTGTTTTTAGGAATCATTTGTTAGCCCATGTTTATAAATATACTCATATTTTCTTATGAAAGTTTTCAAGTTTTGCTTTTTACATGTATGTCTTTAATTTTCATAAAATTATTCTTTGTGTGTAGTTTGAGGGTAGGGACCTATTTTTCCAATTTGGATAATCAGTTTTCCTAGTATCAGTAATTGAATAGTCTTTTCTTTTCCTGCCTTTATTGTATATCTAGGCTCTACATGTTTTTTTTTCTGCAAGCTTTCTGTTAGGTTCTTCAGGTCAATTTGTGTTTCTGCATCAGCAACATACATTTTTAAATTTCAATAATAATTTTTAGAGTTAAATGGATCTTGGATTTAGTAATTGAAGGAGACACCATATACTTTTTCATAATGAAGTTTCATAAAACTATAAAAATTGTTAATTGATTCATTCAGCAAAATTTTGTTGAACACCTTCAGTATGCTAGGACCGTATCAGGACTTGGGAATTAGGGAAAATAAGACAGACAAAATTTCTTTCTCTTATGGAAATTATAGATTAATGAAAGCATGTAATAAAAATCATGTAAAGTGTTAGAGTATAACTGGTGAAATGGGCACTGGTGGGGAAAAATAAAATAATTGATACACTATATTAAAATGGGAACTTATTTATCAAAAAGCACCATGAAGGGCTTTTCTGAAGAGATGATGTTTGAACACAAATGATGAGAGGGGTTAATAGTGAGATGTTGGGGGTAGGAGTATTTTGGATAGAGAGAACAGGAAGTATAAAGACCCAGAGATTGGGGCAAGATAATGTGTTTTGAAGAATACCAAGAAGATCATTATGACTGGGAGCCAAGGAGTAAAGAGGAGAATGGTAGATAATTAGGTTGGGAAGATAATGGGGGGCAGACACTGTTGAATCTTTAGGCCATGGAATTTATTATAGGTGTAATGAAGAGCCATTGAGAAGACTTCTGCATGATGCAAATTTGATTTATGGTTTACAAAGATTGCTTGGGCTTCCATGTAGAGAAGGAACTCTACACAAGAAGGAATAAGTCCTAAGTCTGAAAACTAGGTAGAAATCTGATGCTGTTATCCAGTAGAAAGGTAATAGTGTCTTGGAACAGGATGGTAGTTGTATAAGTGGGGAGAAATACAAGGACTCCAGATAAATTTTGAAGGTAGAATATAAAGCTCTCAGAGATAAATGGGATGTGAAGTGTGAAAGAGAAACATTGAACAATAAATCTAAGGTTTTGGGCCAGAGAACAAGGTGGAAGGGAATAGTGGTTCCACGAACTGAATTAGGAGAGAGGCAGGTTTGGAAGATAAGCGGAATTAAGAATTATGTTCTCGCCGGGATCGGTTTGGCTCAGTGGATAGAGCGTCAGACTGCGGACTGAAAGGTCCCGGGTTTGATTCCCGTTAAGGGCATGTACCTTGGTTGTGGGCACATCCCCAGAAGGGAGTGTGCACGAGGCAGCTGATAGATGATTCTCTCTCATCAATGTTTCTAACTCTCTATCCCTCTCTCTTCCTCTCTGTGAAAAATCAATAAAATATTAAAGAAAAAAAAGAATTATGTTCTGGATAAATTTAAGTTGCCTATTAAAGGATAGAGGCAGCCAAAACCGGTTTGGCTTAGTGGATAGAGTGTCGGCCTGCTAACTGAAAGGTCCTGTGTTTGATTCCGGTCAAGGGCATGTACCTTGGGTTGCGGGCACATCCCCAGTAGGGGTTGTGCAAGAAGCAGCTGATCGGTGTTTCTCTCTCATTGATGTTACCAACTCTCTATCCCTCACTCTTCCTCTCTGTAAAAAAATCAATAAAATATATTTAAGAAAGAAAGAAAGAAAGAAAGAAAGAAAGAAAGAAAGAAAGAAAGAAAGAAAGAAAGAAAGAAAGAAAGGAAGGAAGGAAGGAAGGAAGGAAAGAAAAGAAAAGAAAAGAAAGAGGGAGGGAGGGAGGGAGGGAGGGAGGGAGGGAGGGAGGGAGGGAGGAAAGACATTAACAACAATATCTAATTGTTGAGAGAGAGAGAGAGAGAGAGAGGAAGGAAGGAAGGAAGGAAGGAAGGAAGGAAGGAAGGAAGGAAGGAAGGAAGGAAGGAAGGAAGGAAAGACATTAACAACAATATCTAATTGTTGATAGAGAGAGAGAGAGGAAGGAAGGAAGGAAGGAAGGAAGGAAGGAAGGAAGGAAGGAAGGAAGGAAGGAAGGAAGGAAGGAAGGAAGGAAGGAAGGAAGGGAAGGAAGGAAGGAAGGAAGGAAGGAAGGAAGGAAGGAAGGAAGGAAGGAAGGGAGGGAGGGAGGGAAGGAAGGAAGGAAAGGGAAGAAAGGAAGGAAGGAAGGAAGGAAGGAAGGAAGGAAGGAAGGAAGGAAGGAAGGAAAGGGAAGGGGAAGAGGAAGAGGAAGAGAAGAGGAAAGAAAAGAAAAGAAAGAAAAGAAAAGAAAAGAAAAGAAAAGAAAGAAAAGAAAAGAAAAGAAAAGAAAAGAAAAGAAAAGAAAAGAAAAGAAAAGAAAAGAAAAGAAAAGAAAAGAAAAGAAAAGAAAGAATGAATAGAGGCAATTAGCCCAGCTGGAGTGGCTCAGTGGTTAAGCATCAGCCTATGAACCAGGAGGTCACTAATTCGATTCCCAGTCAGGGCACCTGCTCAGGGTGAGGCTCGATCCCCAGTGTGGGGTGTGCAGGAGGCAGCCAATCAGTGATTCTCTGTCATTGTTGATATTTCTGTGTTTCTCTCTCCCTCTCCTTTCTCTGAAATAATTATTTTTTTAAACTAAAAGAATAGAGGCAATTATAAGGCAGGCAATTGAATATGTGAGTTTGTGTTCAGGAGAAGATATATAAATTTTGGAGTCATCAACGAGTAGATTCTTTTTTTAATGAACTTGATGCAGAAATAATTTTTTAGGTCTTGGATGATAAATGGAAGTATTTTTGAAATTCACGGAGCTAAAATATAATTTTGAAAACTTAGCAGAGTAGAAAACATGATAAAGCAATTTAATTAATCGATATAATTGAAATGCAAACATAAAGTTCTGATTAAGTTAAAAATTAAATTTAGAGTGAGGACAGAATAATTCCCGCTCAAAATAAAACTAAAGCCTTTGTAGACTGAAAGCACAAAAACATAAAAGCATGTGGAAATCCTAGGACACTGTGGTGTTACTCACAATTATTTGCCCTATTCTTTCATTGAGTATTTTTCTTCTTTCTGTTCTCTCTGGAACTGGGCATTGCTTTCCTCTATTCGTAGCTTGTCCAAGTGGGAGAATAGCAGCCTGAAACACTATTTAAACTGATTACTGGGGCAGCAAGCTTTTAAGAGCCAGACGTTGGAACCAAATCCTGAGTTAGAATCTTACCTCTTAGTCTTAGATAAGGCAATCTCTGAACCTCAAGTTTCCCATTTCTAAAACAGAAATTATACCTGCTATCTATGAAAATTAGAGTAGAAATTCTAGTGGATGTACAATATTTTGTATTTTTTCTGATCACTAATGAGGTTGAGTATCTTTTCATGTTATTGACCATTTGTATTTCTTCTGTGAAATGGCTTTTGCCTATAAAGAGTTAATATTAATAGCACAGTACATCTTGCATTACTTTTTCTTATCATTTGAATATGTTTTCATTTTTATAATCTCCATAATTTGTATACTTTTACTCATACATACCTATCAATTTTGGGGGAATTGAAAGCGAATTAAAAGAAAAACAATTATGCAAATTTCTTAAAGTATTGAGTTGGTAAAATTAATATAAACATTGAGGCAAGTTCAGTCTTTTGCCATTATGTAAATCTAGCACTGAAATTCTAATACTTTTTCCCTTTTTTCCTTGAGCTGTTATAGCAAACAGTGAAGAATCTCAACTTCTGACACCAGGAAAGATGAGTCAACGCCAAGGGAAAGAAGCTTACCCCACTCCAACCAAAGACTTGTGTCAGCCATCTCTCAGTCCTGCAAGCCTTCATAGTCAGGGTAAGAGTTGTGGTTTTAACGTGTTTTGTGTTGTTATTTTTTAAGGGAAGAATGACATTTTGGGTCTATCATAACTTGTATCTTTTGAACGCTTTAGATTTATAGGGTTTTTGTTTGTTTGTTTGTTTTGGTCATACATACTACTCTTGAAATGACTACTTTTTTCCTTTTGAATCCTTTATTATCTCTTATATTCTCTAGCATACTTTGTTAGCTATACCATCAAATTATTGATTCTCAAACTTCTTGGTCTCAAGACTTCTTTACACTGGTAAATTATTGAAGACGGCAAAGAGTTTTTGTTTATGTGGGCTAACCTATTGATATTTACTATTTTGTAAGCTAAAAACTAAGAATTTTTAAAATTGTTTATTATTCATTTAATATTACAATAATAAACCCTTTAAATGTGACTATGAGTAACACATTTTTATGAAGATAACTATGTGAGAAGAGTGGTATTCTTTTCCTGCAGGTTCCTCAACCTTGGCACTATTAACTTCTAGTGCTGGGTGATCTGTTGTTTTGTGCGTTGTAGGATGTTTCACAACATCACTAGCCTCTTCCCACTAGATGGCAGTAGCACTTTTCCCACTTATGACAATCAGAAATCTCTTGACATAGCCAAATGTCCCTTGAGGGACAAAAATCATCTTTGGTTGAGAATTACTGTTTTATAGTTTCTGAAAATTTCTCTTCATTTCTAGCTTTAAAAAAGACATGTGAATTTTTATATCTGCTTCTGTAGTCAGTGTTGTGATGTGATGATTTAATTGAAATACTATATGAAGACAATCTGGCCTCACATATATGTGTATTGACAGTAATACCTTTTATACATAATTACAGATATTTTTTGATACTGCACCAAAACTAACAAGTGGTAGTTTCTTAAATGTTTGTTGCAATGTGGAATCTGAAACCATATCAGTAAGCTTTTCATACTCTGTTGAATTAAAATCCACTGATATATCTTGAATTTTGAATGGCTCTTACTCATTCATGATTTTGAAACATTATACATTAGTCATTTGGAAAATAGTTGCTCATTGAAATATGCAGATCTACCAAGTGTTGACACATTTTAAAATATAGTATAAATAAGTGCTTTATACATATTTCTCCTTTTTCACATGGAATATTAAAACCACCTGTACTCAGGGTTTATGATTTTTACTGCTTCATCAAGGACATTTGTAAATGAAACTGGCCAATTATGCAAGTTCTTGGCAATGAAGAAAGCAGTAACTACTACTAGAGTTTGGTGCCTCTTTCTTGATCTGTGCTGAAGTGCTGGCAGTTTTACTCAACCTACTGTTGTACATTAATTAAGTAGAAATGTCAATGCAATGAAAAAGTATTATGAAATAGTTTTAACTTTCTATACCCTCTAAAAGAGTCTCGGGGACTCCCAGAAATCATAGATTTCACTTCCTAAATCTTAATAAGTTTTATGTATTGGATTCTACTCCTTTGCTAAAGTTTATTTAGTCAAATGCTTTGAACTCTTCTGTGGTTAATACTGATAGCTGTGGTGAAAAGACTACTGCTTTTAAAACCAAGAACTTAAATTTGGTGTTAGAAAGGTAATATATGTATTCAAGCTGTCAAGTATTTTAAAAAGTTAAATTTGGAGTTTTATACTGTATATAACTCGTCAGGTTTTGGTATTATTACTTTATGAAATAGGGTTTAGTTCTTTTTAAATGAGTATTAACTGATAAATATTAAGTTACATAATCATTTTTCTACTTTATTTCTGTAGAAAATGTTTTTCTAGTCAAGTGTTAGATGGAATATACTATTATTAACATTCATTGCTTAGTTGTTGGATATATTTTTGGAAAGTTTGAATTTTTGTCACCCAAATGTCTTTTTGAAGCATGAAAGTGTATATATGGTACACTGGTATAAAAAAGTTTCATTCATTAATGATACAGTTTACCTGGTTTTTCCATTCTGTGCATCAGAATTTTGACTCTCTTAAATATGGTTTATCTGATTCATGTGCACTAGAACTTTTAGAAGACTTCTTTAACTTGAAACTTAATGAAGCATCAGAAGGGTTACTAATAATTTCCCTCATTTGCATCTATCAAAAACATTTTTAGGCAAACTGGGGATTTGAGAGATTAGTACAATGAACACTAATATACCTATCATGTAAATTTAAGCAATTATTAACTTTTTGTTGTGTTTATTTCATTTATTTATAAGTGAGGCTGGACTATTTAGAGTAAATTATAGACCTCATGATGTTGTGCCTCAGAATACTTAATGCATGTCTAAAAATTAGAACATTTTTATATTACCATAAAACCTTTTTACATATACAAAATTTACAATAATTTAATATAACCTAACACCTAATCCATATTCAAATGCCTCAGGGTGTCCCCAAATGTTTCTACTGTAGGCTTGTTAAAAGTAGGATCCCAGTAATTTCATACATTATATTTGGTTGTCATGTCATTACATGGCCTCTGCCCAGTACACGAAATTCATGCACTTGGGGGAGGCGGGGAGCTCAGCCTGGCCTGCACCCTCTTGCAGTCCGGGAGCCCTTGGGGGATGTCCGACTGACAGTTCAGCCCTGATCCCTGTGGGAATGCACTGACCACCAAGGGGTAGCTCCTGTATTGAGTGTCTGCCCTCTGGTGGTCAGTGTGCATCATAGCGACTGGTCATTGCGCCGTTTGGTTGATTTGCATATTAGTCTCTTATTGTATAGGATATCTCCTTTAATCCTTGTTCACTTTTATGATCTATTGTGCCTTTGACATCTTAAAGAAACTGGAATACTGTCTCTATAGAGTGTTTGACCTTATGGATTTATTTGTCTCCTTGATGTATTGTTTTCACTAAAAGATGTAAGCACCTTTTGATGATCATTGAATCAGTTATAACATTAGGGATTGAAAAAATTGTGATTTTTTTCTAATTGTGTCATTCTTTTTATATTTGTTACTGATTTTTTTCTGTGAAGAGAGATCTTAATCATCTTAGGGCTGCTTGGTAAGCATTGTTCTGATTCTCAACATTTTCTGTGATTTCTTTTTCTGTGCTTTGATCTCTCCCTTCGTCTTTATTTTTAATATCACCATTTTAGATAAGGTCCTTATCATTTCATACCTAGGTCCATAATCTCCTAACTTCAATTAGGACCTTGCCCTCCAGTATACTAGGCTTATCTTCCTTAACAAAATAACCAAACAAAATTATTGTAAAAATATGTGTTAAGATGAGATTATGATGTGATTGAGGTTCTTCTAGATCTGTGGTCAGCAAACTGCGGCTCGCGAGCCACATGCAGCTCTTTGGCCCCTTGAGTGTGGCTCTTCCACAAAATACCATGGCCTGAGTGAGTCTATTTTGAAGAAGTAGCGTTAGAAGAAGTTTAAGTTTAAAAAATTTGGCTCTCAAAAGAAATTTCAATCGTTGTACTGTTGATATTTGGCTCTGTTGACTAATGAGTTTGCCAACCACTGTTCTAGATATATATGGCCAGAAAATACATCAATTCTGTGCAGTAAGCCTCTAAGGGAAATAATATGAAAGAGAAATAAAAGTTGTAAATGTAAATAGCATTTTTTATTATTCATGCTTGTAATGGAAAACTTCATTAGATTTCTACATTTATGTCGTTCTCATTCTAGGAAGTCAACAACTGACTGTTGACTAGAGCAATAACTCCTAAGTCTGAGAATCATCTGGGAACTTTGCTTAGATACAGATTCTACTGCAACATTTTAAAATCTCTAGAGTAACGCTGTGTAATTATTAAGCTCTCCAAGTGCATCTGCTGTAGTAACATTTGGACCAGCAAGTGGAAACCAGCAGTTGAGAGCATAAATTGCAGACTCCATAATCTGGTAGTCAGTGCTCTTAGTATATTCGATTTAACTCTACCCTTCCACTTTCATTTTGTGTTCCCCTCTTAATGAACCCAGATAGATGGTTTTCTTCTCTATTCCCCAGTGAGACTGTGCTTTTATTTTATTTATTCTGGACCTCCACTGTGGAATATCCTCACCCTTCCCTTTGCTTATCTAATATGTCTCAAATCCCAGGGTGCTGACAGTAAAAAAAGGCCTCCAAACAAGAATCAGATCTTCTGTGAAATTCTTTGTTGGACCTCAGAAAGATTTAAGACAAGTCCTCTTATTAGACATTTTCAGCTAGACTAAAGAGCTTCATAGAGTCTTAAAGGCATATCTTTTTAGAATGTCTCAGCTAGTCAAAAAATCTCCTAAGGCTCTTAAGTCTGATGCCCCACAGCACCATGACACTCAGCTCAAAGTAGAAAATGGCCTATCTCAAAGAAATTTGTCTAATAGCATCTGTCTAATGGAATTAATTTTAATAAAATTCATATATAACTCACAGAGTTTTTATAAGAATGGTTTTGATGAAAGCACCACAGGATAGATAGAAAAAAATAGACATAGTTTAATTAAAAAGAGCCTTTGTGTGTTGGGATAGCCCAATCTTACATGGCAGGTATCAGGCCAATAAAGATACATTGTTATAAATATGGGCTATTTCTTATGAAATATAGTGATTCTCAGGATGGAGCTAGAATCTCAGAGGCAGAATCAAGATTCACAGAGGACTATTTTTCAGGGAGCAGAAGTGTGTTTCAATCAAGTTGCTGATGTCATTTGTCAAGCAGGTTTCACAATTGCTGTAGAACTGTATGGGCCTTCTGTATAATTCTACATCCCATACATCTTTGAATTCAATTGCCAAAACCAAAGACAGCATTGCAATTGTCTATTGAACCTGATTTCAAGCTAACAAGATCCTGGACTTACAGCCAGTGCTGTAATAAGATGACATTTTAGTCGGAGTAAAGGGGTGAGGGAGTGCCGTGTGTGTATTTTGCACGTGGAAGGAAGTGAATTGGGTAAACTGATATGTTTCATTTTCAAAGATAAATGCAGCATTACCTTTTATCTCACGTGCTTTTTTTCTATATGTCCTTGCAATTTGCCCACCAA